GTTCTTTCTCCCCCTTTATATATGGGACTGATGTTGACTAGCTTCCAGTCAGTAGACAGAGGATCCGCTTTCATGGAGCTTTCAAAGATCTTGGTGAGTAGGGAGGCTAGATGGTCTACGAATTTACAGAGGACTTTTGCGGATATACCATCCGGACCCGGCGACTTAGTAGGCTGCGGCCGTCTCAGAGTATTCCTTACTGCGCCCGATGTGAAGGTCACGGTGTTAATTGTATTTCCAGATAGGGCAGTTTGCCGGTGTACTTTGTTATTAAAAGGCGGCTCCTCGGTATACACGGACATGATGAAATCGGATAACATCTTCGTCTTTTCTGAGTTATCAGCTAACTTATTCCCTTGATAGTTCTTGAGACAACGAATGGAGTGCGATTACGTTTTGCCCTATTCACGTGGGAGAAGAACTTTGGATCTCCGGTATTTCCACAGATATTTATGAGACAAATACTGCTCTTTCCCTTTTCAGGGACTCCGACACCTACTTCGCCGCTTCTTAAATTCTGAGAGATGTTCGGACTGCTCACATTTAGCGTGCTTCTTCCACAGTCTCCTTTTCTTTTTAAAAGTCCTTTATATTTTTAATATCACCCTTTCTGCTCAGAAGACGCACGGTCTCATTTTGAGCGTGCAACAGTTTTCTACCAAGTACCAAATCACGTTCTCAGAGAAAACCCAGGCTGCGTTAGGGTCAGGTTCATGCAAAGAGTTCCATTATGTCTCAGTCAGTAGTCCTTTCATTAGGAATAATTCCCTTTCCATACAATTCTCTCCCTTTCGATTAGAATTTCGGGAAAAGAAAGATGACTGTACTCGCAAATAAGAACGCAATAATCACTTCGGCCCTGGGGAGTGTTAAAAGTCCGACCAAGGACATAGTTTCCATCACTGGTAAAGATGAGATCCAAACAGCTTGACTACTGTTCACTTCGGAATTAGGTGTCCATTATAGCATGTTGAGTAAGGAATTCATCAGTAACCAACTGAAGTTGCTTCTGTTTGAATAACTTTTCTTATTGTGAGCAGTGCACAACTTCCAATCGACGTCCGGAGCATTAAAATTTCCAAGTGTTATTAAGCGTTTGCTACGGCTGATCTTCTGTATCTATGTGATGAGTTCATCGTCAGTGCCCTTCCGCAGTGCGGGGGTTTGTATATCAGAGCAACATGGAGGTTTGGCTAGTTTGGTACTTTTAATCTGCAACTAAATATTTCACAGCCAGTGTTCCCCTTTGGTGAGGACCCATCCGTGACTAAGCTAATGCCATCCCGTATGAAAATCGCGATTCCCATATCCCTGCGTCCACTTCGGTCCAAGCGGATAAGCTGAAATCTGTCTAGCGTGACTTCTGCGTCTGCTATATACTCATTTAACTATGTTCTTGTGAGAGTTATAAAGTGAAGATGCAAATGGGTCACGGTCAGCTTAATTTCATCCAATTAATGTATAAGATTGTATACGTTTGTGTACATAATTATCATGTTTTTTGGCTCTCTCGGTCTCTGGAAATTGTTCGTTTTTTTCTGGCGTCTGACAGTTATTACTGTAAATTTCGCACGAAATATTTATTCAATGTCTGTTTACGAATTTACAAATGTTCGATGGAACTGATGGTTGGCGCGATGACCGCCGATTACATCGGATGATTACATAAAAACCTGCATTCCATTTTGATGATTTCGTTGCCTACAATCTTCAGATTTCTTTCTACCTCGCTCTGACACCTTTTCAGTTCTGTTATCAAAGTTCCCATTTCCATTTGATCGACGGATAAGTAGTCTGGCTGAAAAAACACTCCACGTTTGTTTTTTGTCGTCTGGCCTTTCGAGATAAGATCAGATCTGCCGGCTGCTTGCTTTCCAAGACGACTTTCAGTGACCTACGTCACATCTCCTCTGCGTTGCCTCTCAATACAGGTCCCGAACCAAGGATCTTTTGTATTTTAACCTCATCACCGGGTTCTTGGGTGTCATATAGTAGATTTTGGAATGCCAGGAGGTCCTGCTTCACGCTTTTCTTGGGGGTTTTGCCAGTAGCCCTAGGGACCCCCCGGACCACCACACAAAGTGATGGCCTGGCATGGGAACGGGATGGATTCGACCCCCATTTATTAACTAATTTATTATTCTGAGCCCTGGATGTCGATAGTTCTTCTTACATTAGTCCATGTTTGCTGTAAAGATCAAACGTCCTGAAAAAATTTAGGCAGCATTTGATCAATTCTGGCTTCTTGGGGGTGTTTTAAAGTGGCAGGTTTCAACTGAATCAGTGATAATGTGCTCATCTGAAGAACTAGATGGCTTGGTGGGTTATCGGTTAGCTGGTGGAATAGTTCAACATAATTGGCTAATGCCGGTCGAAGGCAAGGTAATTAGGCAGATGACTAGTACTTTGATACTGAGAGTGAAGGGTGACACCTGTATTGGTTAAAAAGGTGAGGCAGCGTGAATGGCAAATAAGGTCTGGCTAGAATAATCTAACCAATAGAAAGTAGAGTGGGGATGAATCTCAATGGAAATAATCATAGGCAAAATGAAACAGAAGATGCTATGAACAACTAAGGGTCACCAACATAAGAAACGAACCGGTCTATCACGAGTAGAGTTAGAAGAAACAAAGTAAGCGCAAAAACGCAGCGTGACAATAAATTATTCTAGAGAGTTATGCTAGAGTTTTTTACATGCCGTATTATTGGCACACTAAAACAAGACGCTTTTCCAGTCACTACATAGTAGTCAGTTTGTTCGCGGTCAGCTTACATTACAGCCCGCAGACGGAGCTTCATCTTGAATAGGACGTGGCAGAGGTGCGCCCAGCCATTGGCCTCGAGGGTCACCTTGACCACCGTCACGTCCCGCCTAGTTCGCCGCTGGACGAGAACATAATGCAGCAGCTGCCAGCGCTGCGATCCGGGGTGCATTTAGACGGCCTTCTCCCTCATGAGCACGCGGAAGAAGAAGTTGGTTAGCAGAAGAAAGTGTTTAGCGTAGGTTCGAAAGAGAAGGAGCACATCGTAGTTGCAACCATCGGTTTCGTGAGGACTTGGCACTCCCTTCAGGCAGCTCAGATTGTCCCGACGCAGGAGCTGAATTCACGAAGGCCGAATTCCTTTGTGCATTATTCACTGTTATGGGCATTACTGCATTGTCTCAAATGTCATTTTTACTGGCCTGTTCCATTGCTTGATGGGTTACATCAACATTCGTTTCTTCGGTCTGAAAACTCATGGAGAAATAACCATGCTCCTACATATCCCTTCGTGGACGATGATCTTTGCGAAAGCCAAAGTCATCCCCTGACCTCCACCCCTATGATCTGTTGATAATCACGCTTGTAGTTTAGTCTGTCAAAGAAGGAGTATCATGGTCGCATCTCCACGCACTTTGAGTACACCCCCCAGTCATAAATATCTCCTCATCGCCTGGAATATAGGTGGACTGTGACCATTCGTGTCGGCTCATTCCTGTCTTGCCATTTTGGCGGTTGTGTCTGTGGTCAACCCAAAAGCATTAGGATCGTACCTGTAGCAAAGAGCATCAACCGATGTAGAGCCGCGTTAAATCTCCTGTATGCACTCACCTGCGGGAAGGTCCTGTCCGACCTGCATATTTACCTTGCAATGAGTGAAAGTTTCCCTTTCCTTGGAAACTTATTAAATCACATCCATTTGACATTTTCGAAAAAAAGTGACGGAGTTTTTTTGCTGTTCGTTGCCAGTTTTTCACATCAGTCAGCCTATTTTCCAGGCGTGAACTGAACACAATACAGTGGCTGCATACTTCTTCCAAAATTCAATCGAAAATTTTTTTGCTCACTGTAATGTGCCCTTCAGGCCTCTAATTAAAACGATTCATCGTTTATCTGTTAACTGTAATTGCTCGGTCTGTGGAGATATTCAAACATCGCCTTGACGTACACGCGTTGCAGCAACAAACGAACAGTTCGTCTACTTAACCTCCAAAACCAATGTGCCTATACGATTCTAAGTATACTTCTACTTAACATTAATTCACTTACAGTGTCATTTATTCTCCCGATTTGCACGGAGTCCAATGGCGTAGACTCATTTACCTTAAGAATGCTAAACTGAACCAATCGGCTGCCATTCAGGAGACCCCGGGCTGGATAATATGTCGTCAGAATCGTCCGAATCAGATATGAGTTTGAGGATACGTCTAAAAAGAAAAAGTTGAGGTTTGGGGCATATGCTTAGGCTCTTCGCGTAAGTTTGCACAGCTTGGATCGACGCTAAATAATCCATCCACGTACCAGCCTTACTTGTTTTTTTCCAACGTCATCTTTTTTTAAATAAATGTCGCCAAATAATCCCGCTGTCTTCCAGTGATGACGAGTTCTTTCCAAATGATGTTCCGATAACTTGGTATTTTTAGCCCTCCACAGACAGGCGTCTTCGTAAAACAAACCATGGAACCTTGTGGTGACAATATTATCATCCAAAAATTTAACCACAAAGACACATCTACATCATGTCCCAGCACAATGAGTCATGCAACTCTAGAGTAACGCAATATCGGACTAATAAAGTTGATGGAGCCAATAAAACTAAAATTCACGCAGTCTACCAAATCATTCCCACGTGTTGTGAAATATGTTGTTTTTCATTGCATGTCTCCCTTAATCACATGCATATAGATTTGGATTCTAAAACGTTTGCAAAAGACCATGATAAAAGGGGGGTTCGCATGTGAAAAGAGGGCTTACCAATAACCTGTCTACAACGGATGCAGGGAGAGGACAACTGATCCGAGAAACCCAAACCAGTCTCTCTCTGGAAGACGCGCATACTACAATTTCGGCGGCATTAGCAACAATAGTTGTTTTCGGCCCCGCGCGGCCACGAAAATTGACGGGTGGTTATGACATATTTATCCATAAAATATCCGGAACCGACTCCAAATGAATTTTCAAAGAAGTTCCTTACCAATCGGAGTGGATTTCCTATGGATGACCGGACGTGGACGAAAATGTTTCAGTTTTGCTGCCATTTGTATCCGGACTACGAAGACCAAATCCTCGCCCTGATGAGGAAGGACTCCAAAGATATTGTGAGCTCCCGAACTTCTCTTGCTGTATCCTTTTTAGAGGGACTCTGAAATCCTTTTTTTACTTTAGACATACCCGGTGCCCCCCATACGCTTAATGGGAAAGCTAAATTCTGCGGAGAAACTTAGCGCCATACAATCTTACATGTCTTCATTACAGTAAGATCACATGTTTTTTTTGAAACACGCACACATACGGTGGTATCAGTTTTGTCCGTTTTTATAAAATGTTATATGCATGTCCGAAGGTAAACGAAGACCTTTACTCAACGCAATGATTGTACGTAAACAGTGCTATTTACTTGGTCCCAGAACTCACGTTTTTGCAAGGGGATTTATCTTAGTTAACGTCTATCTGTTAGCACAGGATATTCCAGATAAAACATTTGTGTTGAGGAATGTTGCTGTTGCCTCCAAAAAGTAATATTGCGTTAATGGCAGGTTTTTATTTTTTTACAAGGTATAACTACACAGGGACGCAGTTCTTTGCCATTCCAAAGTTTCGGCCCATCATCAGGTAGTCGGTTTTCACTTTACTGTGCTTTGTGCAGGCTAGTTGATACAGCCAGGGAAATTATCCGTGATTCTCTGCCAATAAAGTGTTTAGAAGGCGTTATACTCGCTGTGTGAGTCGTTCTTGCATCTATTATTTCGATAGATTCTTGACCCAGGGGCATACGGAACTGAAACGCTTCACGATCTCCTTCAAATCAAAGTTTAACGATCAAAAACACAGACATATTGTGCTAGGAATCTACTGCCGCGGTTATTTCGGAGCCTTGGGAATGAGCCGCCGCGAAGATCTGATGTATAAACCGCTTGAATTCCATGTGGGACTAAACATGTTTTATTTAACTTTGAGATATGCTGTTTATGATAAATATTTGGTAATTTTATGCTATGCTGCACTGTCTTTGCGGGCCTAGTATTTCAAGAAATTCCTCTGTAAATTCCAGTGCCTTTCAGATTTAGTTGGCAGCTACCTGAAGGCATATGCCAGTTACGAACATATCGTGCAAAAATTGAAGATCGGTGGGCCTATTCCTCATGAACCTCACATGCTTGAAACAATCATGTGGAGAGTAAGCCCCTTTTAAGGATCAAGTGACCAATATAGGGGTTGTCGATCTCACCTGTACATGCGTCAGAAGCACGAATGTCACATCTCATTGAAAACTACTCGAAACAGGTGAGCTTGGTTAATTACAACTTGGTAAAAATGCTTAGTGTGGCTTATGATGATTGATATATTCACTGTGCTAATTTCTTTTCAGTTAACATCTTCGTATGCGAGATTTACAATACAGCCCGTCTCCGTCAAACTGCCGGAGCTACAAATGAAAATAAACAGGCAAAAAAACTCGACGATCCTTCAGAGTGGCGAGTCCACGTCAAGTGCATCAACTCTCCCGGCACTTAAAAGCGGCGATCGAAAAGACACTAGAGCCAGAAGTACGAATGCTTTAGTGAGAAAATAATACTATTTGTAAGAGCGTGTCCGCAGGGATTCAGGACAACGGGACTATTTCCACCCGAAAATATGAAGTTAGGTAAGTAAAGTTGAAAAAGGCCCCATCAATGCGGGCTAAGGACTTCACACAGATGTTAGCATATGCCTTTAAAATTTGGGTCTCTCAATGCTTCAACGACCATCTTTAGCCCGTAAAGACATTTAAAACAAGGACTGATTGCGTCTCATTCAGGTATCCATTTAACTTCAGACCACAACGCATAGCCCTACAAAACTCAGGGGGTAAAGTTCTTGTTAGACATTCTGCAGAATAGTGTGTTAGTACCATACCTTACTGTTAATATTTTTACTTCTTAAATGTTGTCTCCTACCTGCGCAGTTGATTTTCTAGAAAACTTGGACTAATATTTGCCTTAGCTGTCGGCAAAAGACTTATCTGTTACAACTAATAGTGCGAATTTCGCAAAAGCCCATAAAGGTGCGACGAGATATGCGTATACGAGATAGGTGGCACTGGGCGATTTTGTCTTAAACGAACTAAGCAGTCGTCAGAGAACACTAAAGAGGCCTCCTAGAACCTATAAAGACATTCTTAGAAGAATGCGCTGTTAGTCGTTTATTTGTACTCATGCTACTAAATAAATAAAAGTGCCTGCATCCTCATGCTTGCCGCAACGATGTGGGCTTTAACTTAACGGTTTGCAAAAGAATAAAGTTGATAGGGAGTGAGTAATACTTCTGCTAAAATAGTGGACAGTTAGTTTGCCTAACGATCCCAAAATGCAGAAGTTATGTCAACAGAATAATTGCATAACTTTCAAGGGTAGGGACTTAGAATGAACACCCAGAAGGCGATTTATAGTCGGCCCCGAAATTTTCATTGGAATTTAACGTTCCAGACACATCATCGTCGGCTAAAACAACAAGAGGAATATGGACTACTTATTTTTCCACACCGCTAGATAATTTTTTGTTAGCAGTACGATAGAACAACTGTGAAAATAAGCATAAATAAGTTTTCATTGATTTAGACTTTTTAATCCATAAGGTGCGCCTAATGATACGTTTTCGGCCAAAATATAAAGCGAGCGACAGACCATTTTATCTACTGAATAAAGCTTGATTAGGAGCTTTTAAGTGAATGCAATCTATACTAATTTGCTCCTAACACCAGTTTCTACTACTTTTTTCATCTGCAGGAGGCCATCTTGAGGACTGCAAGGCATTCACCGGTGGGCGCCTGTGCCCACTCTCAGGTCTGTACGCCTTGTTAGTTGCATTACTGTCGTAGGAATAAAAGTAAAGTAAGGTCTTTTGGCGCCTCTTCTTTTTTATCTAAGCTAGGTCGATAGTTACCTCCTCAGCCTGACACATATGCGTAAGTTAAAATAGCAATAAGAAAAATATGCGAAACATGCCAATCTACAGAGACGATAAACCCAAAACATGCTTGTCTTGACATCAGCACTGAGCGCCGATGCTAACCAAAATGGCGTGTAAAGATTTGCCACCGTGTGGAGGCCCTGAATAACCTGGCATAGGATCTAACTCATTTTAAACGATCATTAGGGCCAACCTTCCCGTACCCTGATAGTCACTGAGTAGGAAGGGTTCTTGTTTCTTGATCTGGTCTTTCAGTGTTTAACGGCTTTTTGCGTGCCCTTGTCCAGGCATAGTCAGTGGGGGGGGGGGATATCAGCAAAAATATACGCGGTTAACTTTATTGGAAGTACTTAAATACCAGTACCTCAATCCGTAAATAACCGTTACGACTAGAGTTCGCATGGATATAGTGGCAGCGACAGAACGGGGATGTAGGGAGCATGAGAAAATGAACGATGAAGAGTAGGATGCGACCACATTGTTAATAACATTATTTGCTAGTTTTCAAAGTTCTCTTACAGTTAAACTCGGGAGACTCACTGTCTTTATTGGTGGCTGTAGAACCACACTTCCTTCCGGATAAACAGAAACAGCTCTTCTCACATACGAAAGCAGGTTGACTCGGGTATCGCCTACACAACCACTGGCCATTCCAAAGCATTAAATTTGAAGTCAGTAGGAATACTCGTCAAAACTTTATCTTAGAGAAATCAGCTTATTAAAAACAGGCTTTACTGCGACTGTCTTTGAGGATGGATTCGAGTGAGAATCCGAAACGTCAGGCCAATAAACCTGTCCCACTGACCGCATCTTATTTTGAGCTGTTTCCTTGAAATCGCCTCATAGCTCCTATCGGCAGTTAGAAAGTTGACCCACAAATAATATGGAACAGGCGATGGCCAACCAGGTAGCGCCTATGACTAAAAGCAAAGGGACAATTGATCACCTAGAGCCCAGGCGAGACAAGGTACCACTTACCCCACGAATCTGCGTCATTACAAGGTATGGGATATCGTCCGCTGTTTGGATCGACGAAGTAGTTGTGAGCGCACTGACAATAGAGCGTTCTCAGGAGTAGAAACGGCCAATATAGGGTAGACAGTACTAAAAACGACACTGCATAGAAGAAACTATTAGGCGAAGTTCGAGGTCCGAGAGCTTCAAAGACAGTCCCACCAAGCGTGCAAGAGGGCTTCGAAGACACCAGGAATCAGCACTCAGACTATGCGTACTGCCTGTGAAAACAGCTTAAATTTGGCGCAGGGTTCGTAAATCATCTGCGAAGATCCTGGCTTACCTTGCAGACCAAGTTCTAAACTGCGGTTAGAAGCGTAACGACGCGATACGCTAGCAGCTGTCGCAAGGAGAATTTAGTAACTGCGGGTATATTGCTGCTCGCAATTCATACATTTCGGCATGGTCAGCAAAGCGCCGTTGTGGGTGGAGCTCCTGAACTGCAAAAAAGTAGAGGTACGTTCTGGCAGTATGTGTGGCCTAAGCAGAAAGAAGCCCTGCCAAACTTGAGGGCATGTGCTATAACGACTGAATGAGGAATACGATCGACAGTCCAGTACACTTTCACAACCGTCAGTAGAGATTGCTGATGTGGTCTGAAGACAAACGTCCGCTGAAGTGCATTACGCAAATGGTTCAGAGTCTGCTCGCTGGTGAATGATGCTCACTGCCGACAGCAAAACCCGTACACAGTATCACAGCGGGACTTGAAGAAGTTAACCAGAAGTGTCAGGCAACACAAGCCTTGTATTTACAGAAAAAAAGCCTTCGACAGCCCCCAAAGGTTAGGAGCGTTTCGATTTTCCGCGTTTTGTAGCCTTGCCACCGCCGCCGCCTCTTCTGCCGCGGGCACCACCACCACCACCACCGCCCTTCTTCGCCTTATTTTTACTAGCAAATCTGTGCTGTTTTTCTCGCTTGCGTCGTTGTTTGAGAATCTGTTCAGGTTTCCGCATCTGTCCGAAGGTTCGACTGCCTTTAGCCTGACGAATGTTCTTGTTGGCCTCACGTGCCGCCTGCTCCATCCTCTTGTGTGCGGTTCGCGCAACTAACAGGTAAGAGGGCAGAAAAAAAGGAGTAAATGAGACTGCAGCTTGTCCAACAGACAAGTCGCACACAAGGTGACGGGAGCATATGCTGGGTGAGCGAACGGCGGTCATGAATTTGCAACAGGAGGCATTGAGGTTTTAAAATTCAGTATACGGGTCAAAATAATGGAATTTATCAACTGATTGGGTCTTCTGTTCATAAGATGTCCCCAAACAGTAAGATTTATATGGTGCAATCTAAATTCTCGTCGGCCTAGGGTCCGGAGGTGCCCTGAAAAATAGGCATGCTTGAGTTGGTCTAGAAGTTGCGAAAATTCAGATAGCAGTAATCAGAAGACGAGGTGGCGGGCATACGCAGCTTCCGATAAATTCTCGTCGGGCCAGTACAATTAAATGGGAATGGGGTAGAAGTAAAAGCATATCATGTAAAAACATGCGAAATCGATTAAGGTTCGCCTTACAACACAGGCCGGGTGTGGGAATGTGGGGGAGGAGTTATAGCAGTCACTGTCAGGGGCGGGGTGAGAGTGGAAGGGTGCGGGGAGAGTTGCAGCGTTAGTCGACCTTCGACCACTGTGGGCGCGGAGTCTGAACGTGGTTCCTCTGCGCGCACAAGATTGGTTTTCGCAACCTGATGGCGGCCGCCTCTGCCTTTGCTAACAGGCGCTGGCCTAGTAGCTTAGGATAGCTCGATGAGACCTTATAAATCACACAAAAAGCTTCATTGGGGCCTACGTGATGTCCGGAATCGACATGAGCGAGAATGGCGCTGCTTATGCTTCTAGTTTCGCCTTTTCCCAGCCATGCCGGGAGGTGTTCCCGTATTCTCTTAGATAAGCGCCGACTCATGCGATCAATATAACCTGCTCCACAGGAGCAAGTGAAGGAATAGATGCACATTGAGGTGGTCTGCGGTCGTGTGGACCCAAACGAAGCTTTTCGTGTGATTTATAAGGTCCCATCGAGCTACCCTAAGCTACTAGGCCAGCGCCTGTTAGCAAAGGCAGAGGCGGCCGCCATCAGGTTGCGAAAACCAATCTTGTGCGCGCAGAGCAACCACGTCCAGGCTCCGCGCCTACAGTGGTTGAAGGTCGACTAACGCTGCAACTCCTCCCGCGCCCCTCCGCCCCTGACAGTGACTGCTATAACCCCTCCCCCACATTCCCACACCCTGCCCGTGTTGTAAGGCGAACTTTAATCGATTTTTCTTATCACTGACATGTTTTTACTTCTACCCCGTTCCCCGTACTGGCCCGACGAGAATTTATCGAAAGCTAGGTATGCTCGTCACCTCGTCTTCTGGTTATTCTAGAAGCATGCCTAGATAATAACGCAGTGGTGCAGATGTAGAAAAAGAACGGTACAGTTGCAAAAACTGACCATAACGGTGGGTGCAACAATTTTATGGGTCAACAAGGGGCATCAGAGGAGACGGACTCTTAGCCTACAGCTAGACCCACAGTCCTTAAGCTGGTTATGAGTTAATTCGAGAAGTGGGGAAGTCGAAGAACTCCGTTTTCTCACGCGGCTCAACTGTAATATAGCCAAGGACCAATGAGCGCGATTTTACAATTCAGGTGCCCGTCTGACCAACTGTTTCTCTACGAGCAAATCCACCACTTCCTGCACCCCAAACACTGAAATGTTTCTGGATTTCAAACGTTTACCTCAATACCTTAAATTAATTCAGGTCTAACAGATGTTGGAGGCATAGTTCATTTGTGCAGACAAGAGTTCGCATTTTGGTCCAGACAGTTACAGGTCAGATATGGATAACTTCTGCGCAACTTACATCGAGAAAGCGTGCCAACGACCTTCAGGCCACCACTGGTACTTTCGGCGCCCTCACTTCCAGGCTGTTTCCCTTCTTTGGCTGCTTTTCTGAAACCCTGTTTGCCGCGCGGGCGACTTTTCTCAGTGTCCTCTTCTATGTCCATGAATTCCACGACACTGCCGTACTTGGCGTTGAAGAGGCTTGTGAAAGGCGTTTTGGGGTCCTTCGAACGAGCGTTGTGGGCAGCGCCGCCACCGCTTGCATGTTTTTGTGACTCCCCGACATTCGCCGTGTCGCCTCCCTGTTCTTGATTGGGTTCCAGGTAGACTTTGCTGCGCTTCAACCAGGTTTCGTACCTTTACGGGGAGTGGAGGGTATCGCAATAACGTTCATAACAATAAGCAAGACCAAGGGGAAGTGCTCATCAGAAAACTTTACAGACAGAGATCATAGCCGGTTTCACTGAAAGCTAACCGAAGCGACAAGAATAAAAAAAAAACTAAACAAGCATCTATCTCAATTTAAAGAAAACGGTTTTTTCCAAATGCCGAATGACAGTGAATAGGAGCCGGCGACAGTGTACTTGTAAGATCCAACGGCTTTCTGTGAATCAAAAGAGCAAAAGATTAATCCAGACGAATGGTAGCATGTAGGGGGAACTCCCACCGACAAACCTAAAACACAGTTGCCTCGTCGGTCAAGATTCCACAAGAAAGTTTCGCGGAAGGCCGTTAAATCGGCCTTGAAGTTACCGTCGGATCACGACTAACAAACTGGACCCGACGAAGAAGTGGGCCCGTTCTTCACGACTTGGCTCTTGGAGTCTGTTCGCGTGAGCAATACAGTGAGGGCCTCGACAAAAAACAAATTTCAACATTTTGCCGATTATGCCAAAGAACATTCTTCTAATCCCCTAACACGATCCACGAAATGACAAAGGGGACTTGCAATGATTCCTCGATACTCGGAGCGATAGAAAACCTACTTCAAAAGCTAAGAGATAGAGCCCCTCTGGAATATAAAGCGGTCTTTTGGAGCCAGTGTATTGGTATCTTACGAAATCCTGACAATTTCTTCAACTCGATATTAACTTTACCACGGATGGGAGCGAGCTAAAGTTCTCGGTCCATAAAACCTCAAGAGAGCCAAACAGCAACGTAAGAACAGGAACAAAACTGCGGCTAGGAGCATTTACGTTACCCATCTATTGACGCACAGGATAAGTTGCGTGGGGGCTGTGTGCAAGACAATACAAACGCTGCAGGACTCGAAAGACAAACATGATCGAGGTGCATTACTTACAACATGCATTCAGATAAAATGACCTCCCACAAGCCTTCGCCACCAGGTATCTGCGACTTCGCTAGAGGCAACGCCGCTACACAACCTGAGATGAGACACGCGTGTAGCCTTACACTAGAATCGTCTCCGAGACCACGCAAGGCACCATCAACAATTTAGCATACAGACCGATAGCTAAATGTTAAGTCAGGTTCTATGGACAGAGAACCAATAAGTGAAGTGTATTTCATACTCTAAATGCCCCAAATAAGTGTCGGCCGAGGCAAAAACTGGAGACCGAGCTATTCGAACGTAAAATGGTTGTTCGACGTGAAGACACACATTACCTCGTGGCTACGCAGAGTCCAAAACAAAATCCCATCTGTAATGAAGATAACTAGTTGAACTAGTACGGTGTGAGGGAACGAAACATGCCGACTCGGTCATGAATTAAGATGTGCGGAGCCACCCCAAGCCTACCAAACCCTAGACAGTTAGGAAACGGGATTGACGTCAGCAACTAAGGTCAACGCAAACATTTGCAGGGACTGAGAAGAAAGCTCAAAGAAGAGGAATAATAAACTCGTTTGTCTGACACCTAACTCTCTTAGTCATTGCTCGCTAGATGTCTTTGCGATGCTCATCGGTTCACTGACTTATGAGGCAATCAGGTTTCTTGGGACATCAGATGTGAAAAATGGTTAGAGCAGGCAGGGCGAACGAGAGGTTGTGACAGTTACAGTATGCAAGACGGTCTTTTGCGTGATTTCGAAGGAACAGCACGCAGGGTGGCTTTAAGCAATGGTCAGCTGCGAAGTAGGCCGGCTCTCGGATTTGGTGAAAAAGCACTGTCGTGGATACGCATGTGGCCCATCGATGAGTAAGTGTGTGTGGACAGTGAGGACAATAGAGGCCGGCACGACGAGTGTACGCCCAGCTCCTTGTACCGGTTCACCAACCTCAGTGCAACGGATTCGCAGGCAATCGACCAGGCCGATGCGTGACGTGAAGGTGCGATCCAAGTGGGGACAGGTTGGGATTAAGTTCACATCCGTGGTGAAGCGGGTGGCGTCTGACGGGGCGTCGGGAGTGTTTTTACCGGTGGTGGGAGTGAAAGAGGTGGTAGTTGTCGCGGGGGGGTTGTGGCAGGGATGATGCAGGTGGTCAACGACGTTGGCGGCGGCGGTGGTGGTCGACTTCGTGGACGCTGTGAGGCTTGGCGTAGCGGTGAGGGCGGGGACGTTTGTGGCAGCAGGTGTAATAGGCCATAGTGGTATTAAGATGTGCTGAAGGCTGTCAATCAATAGACAGAACTATGCCCGCCGTGTACTGCGGTCCTGGAGTATTACATGAATTTGCTTGGGGACTGGCTAGAAACGCCTACCTACAAATTCAGAAACTACGAGAAACCATCCCTTCACCCAACTGTCCCATAAAACCGCTGGCTGGCGCGTTAGGGTTTTAGGCGACCTGAGAAATAGTCTCCCTGCCTACAAAATCTCTAAGCAATGGTAGCAGTAACGGAGACAGAGACAAAAAAATAGGCGCAGAGGTCAGCGGACGCCATTCAGCAGGCAGCCCGGCTGGGACCGCTCTCGGAAACAGACGACTAATAAGTGCAGAGTTGAATAAAAGACACTTACTTGTCAGTTTTGTAGGAAGCTGGTATATAAACGCCACTTTCAGTCTTGATGCGTGCTACATTGGCCTTGCCAGCGGCAACATCCGAGTTCACGAAGCGCTTACGCTTGCGATCCCATACTTGCAGAGTTTTTCGAAAGCCTGTCGGCCGCCTAAAAAGGATACATCCACACATATGGGTAGAAAAAGTAGTCAGTAATTTTAAGACACCGCACTTTTCGGTGAAAATCTCTGCCAAGGGATCTACGCTTGCGTAAGAGAGAAATTCACCGACGTAGCCTGATTGGGCGACGTAAGGTGGTCGTCTCCGAGGCAGAGCTCTTGCTCGAAGCTGATGACGGAAAGTTAGCCAGAGATGCCTATCGCTGTCGGCAATAGTTCTCTCCTGCATTATCCTGCGACACGTAGGAGTGGTTTTATTGGCCTGGTCTGATCGCAGAATGCAATATAGTCATTCCGTTTCGCCTTGAAGCAAACTCTAGCGAAGAAGAGTAGCCGGACGCACCATTCCTGGATCGCTTTGTGTCAGCAGGCTCGCGTCTGAGATATGAACCTGGATCGGTTGGTGGTCAAGCACATGAGTAGGAGGTTCTACCACCTAAGCTATGGGGCCCACGTGTTGAGCAATGATTACCCGTCATGGTGTTACTTCCTAGGAGTGATCTAGACGCTAGCGACTGAACACAACCCAAATCAATGAGCCCCTAAGCGTTCCCTAAGTGTCTTCTGGTATAAACTCCAGTTAACGGTTACGCAAGACAGCCACCTGTCTGTATGAGCCAAAATTGTGTCCTGGCGGACGCGTAGTACTGATTTTACGTGGAAATAGACACAGTCGCTCTACTCAGGTGACTGGCTCACTGCGTTTGCCCGAAGACAAGTGGCCATTGAAATTGAGAAAACAAGCCTGACGAGGTAGAGTTGAAAAGTTTAGACCTGTGCACTACGCGTATGACCAAGGCACCCTACCTGACCTGGACACCTGACTAATTACCAGCACTGCCGAAAGTCACTTCGGCGACTCGACTGTAGGAACACGCTCGTTCCATCTTGCCTTGGAGCTTCAAGCTAGAGTTCTTGTATAGCGACAAGCAAGTAATAACGTCGAAAGAGTACCTGAATCGAGCCATGAGACCGAGATTGGTCAGTTCTGGCTTATTCGTTGTCAGCAGCCATCCAAACCAGACTTAGGTAGAGTCGGAATTATGACAGAAGATTTAGTCAAATGCGCAATGAATGGAGACACGTCCCTAAATGCAGTGCTGCTGGCAGAGCACAGCCCAAGCACACGCACTGCTGTTCACACCTTGGAGAGCGCTCTAACATGCCGCCAACGATGCAGGGCAGACTCAAATAAAGGCTCGAACAGGCGTGAGAGGCTGATCAACAGTAGTAAACGGGTCGGGGACTGTTGTTGTGGTCTCCACTGCCACCGCAATAACATGAGGCAAAGTAAACAACGTTGGAAAACGAGCGAAAATGCATCGCGAGGTGATGGGGGCGAGGAGGAGCAAGGAAAGATTAAAAAACAGTACCCATGGGAGATGCCCACTTCGTCGCCCTGAACGTCGAAACTGGCGGCCTCTGCGGAGAGCACAAAACTGCCACCGATGCCATCTTGTGTTCGAGTGCTCAGGCCGCGTTCACTTGCCTCATCCTCGCGCACCGATGGGACGAAAAACGTGCTACCCTTGGCGGGTGCTATAGTCTACAGATAGATGCAGGGTGAAGACAATACGGCTGAAAGTATTGGACCAGAGGCTCTGCTTGCAGAAAATATAGGCAGTTAAGTAGACCACCACACATGAAGTATCAGGTGGTTACATTTGGTGGCTACATTAATTTTAAAATGAAGTTAGTCCCACAATTATTAGGCTACCTGTTTTTGGCTAATACTTCAAAACTTTTGCACAGATGGAACCGATGATTATCACGAAGCGATTGAAAGGTGACAGTTAGTCGATTCAGACGATGTCCACTGTGCGCCTACAGCCACATGAGCGCACGGACGGTGACTTGCTCGCGAATTAGTTAACAGAGATAGCAGACTTGCGCCGCATCTACCGCACGCTCTGCACCCTTACCCACCTGAGCCAGGTGTCAAGAGAGGGTCAAAAAGGCCGCAGGCAGGATCAGCCGCAGTGGCTCGCGGAGGCAAAGATCGTCTACGCGTGCCACACACACGCCTAGTCCGCGCAAAATAGACCAGGCTTTCGCACGGGGGGGGGCGGCTCGGACATCGACGGGATGGGTGTGCTATAGAGGCCACGTTTAAAGGGGGTCATTGCATCCTGACTGTCCGTCCTGACGGAATTATCCCGTCAGTTGACAGTTGGAGGGTACTGGTCGTTGTACCATCAACCGCAATAGCGAAAACATAACATACTGCCTGTATCATGTGCCGCTGTGCAGCTGCTGTTTGGGCTCGAGAGAGCCCGTAAGGCACAACGGAACGTATGAGTTCCGTAAGAACGATCGGTGAGCGCCCCCTACCATTGTATATTCCCGATCGCAACCGGCAGGGCAACGGGCTCTTGGCCCAGTGGTTAGAGACGTGGACTTCTAGCTAACAGATCGCGAGTTCGAGCCCCAGGTGTTCTACACTTCGGGGGTAGGTATGACTGCTGGCGACGGCTAATAAGCCAGAAGTGGCCATTCCAGTCTCCCTTGTCTTTGTCGGGAATAACATACTGCCTATATCATGCGCCGTTGTGCGGCTGCTGGTTGGGCTCGAGAGAGCCCGTAAGACACAACGGAACGAATGAGTTCCATAAGAACGATCGGTGAGCGCCCCCTACCATCGAAAAAGGTGTTGTACTTTTGGACAACCGCTTGTGTCGAAGAACGCCCAATGCTGGTCTGGTCAGCGAATAACCTAGAAAGTGCTCGCGGCCCTCCAAGAGGTTTCAGTCTGCATTGTTGGCATCTGGTAAGGGGTGTCAATAGTCAAAGTTCCTTCTTGTAGCAAAGGCATATAAAACGAGCATTCTAATAATGCGTGGCAGCTGGCAAACAGAAAAGGAAATGTATTGCACACGATGCATCCAACTTATCTACGCCTCATGAACGTCTTCCTAAGATTTTTACCGGTTACATATGCCAGCAAATATTCCGTTCCTCTCCTTTACGATAATGACGAGCCCGCTCTTACCCACATCGTTGGTAAACTTCGTAAGTAGAAATCGGTCTTGCTGATTTTCATAGCCAGTGTAACAACGACAGCCCAGTTGACAGGGTACTTAAAGGACGAGCACGGAAGGTTAGCGGCTCAATTTATTCTCCTACCTGACAAGTGTATTCTAGCCAATGAGTTGTTTGACATTTAGGTCAAAGGGCATAGGTCTTCAGATAATACAGGTGCCCCCGAAGTAACGCATACCCTAGATATCACCATACCAATTGACCGATCAGAGGCAATAAAATTAAAACTTGAACCTCACTGGAGTGGTGACATTACCGCAGGCACACCGTTGAACTCGTGACGAAAACAGTAGGGAAAAAGGGAACTGCTAGGTCCCTTCCGTTATCACAACACCCTCTAATGAGGTGAGAACACAGTAAGGAGTACGACAGTCTTGAACTGGTCCAGTGAGGCTTTGTATAAGAGAGCGAAGGTTGGCTGCGTTCTCGCCTACCAAGTATTCCTGACAAACATCTGGGCAGTTTTTACTGATGTCTACTAACTTGTCAAGGCAACTTTAAGGATGGACTATGGACTATGCTCAGTTCAGTACCACAGGTATTAAAGACAAGGTAGCGCACTAGTTTGGGCAGTGCTCTAGTCTAGAAATTCAATCGGTGGGTGAAAGTACGGTTTTAACTGTAAACCAGAACTAACGCAGAGGACTCACCTCCTCGTTGTGATCCGCAGCCTGCTTTTCGCGTTTTGCTTGCATCTCCTGAGCTCGGGAGATTATTGGGTCATGAAGTTTGCGTTTTCGCATAATCATCTGGAAGGCCTCGGGATTAGCGTGCTTGCCGAGGGCCTCAAAAATGGTCTAAGCAGGCGACAAAGATGTTGAGTAAGACGCGGGGGAGGGGGGGGGGGAGAAGGACCCAAATGTTAGACTTTTTGTAATTTTAAAACTACGCGCTTTGAAGAAACTTGCTCAAAAGTGGCAGGGAAAAACATAAAATTCATTGGTTATTAGTAAACTCAGTTCAATTTATCTGAGGGAAATGTAGGTGGTGCCCCTTTGGACTCCCTACTTGATACAAGGAGGGGAACTATCAAAAATATGTAAAACAGGAACATCAAACAGCTACAGCAGAAACTGCACAGAGAAACGAATTACACTAACACAACTAAGTGTACCGTACAGTAGTCAGTCTATGGACAATTGTGCTATATAAAAGATGGCACGATTTCAGTCATCTGAAGGAGCCGAAGTGAACGTTAGCATTCTCATGCAATGACTTTGGGATAAGTAGAAAAAACAAAAGTAACTGACACATAGACAGTAAAATAATCGTTAGAATAAATTGTTAGAATGATCGGGATCGTTAGAATTGATCGGGTGGCAGGACTACAGCATCTGGATGCAAATTCCATAGTAATCAATGATACCAACAGGCTCGTCAATCAGATTGTTGGACCGAGCGGTCTTCAAGGCTGACATCACCATTAATTGACATGTAGTTAAGGGTCCACATACTTTCACTTAACAATTCTTTATTGTACTGATGTAGAATCAAACGAAAGCAAGTTTATCTCGACGAGAACACAGACAGATTGTAATTAAAGAAACCCCAAAGGGGCATCTGAGGGTGGTAAGATGGAATGCCACGACAGTAGCATTGGCCACTCAAAGGTCTCAGTCCGCGTCAGTAAAACATCCCGACTAATTGCTGGTCACCCTGCGATAGTAGGTGGGGGGGGACCGCAGACCGGCACGGATCCGTGCTGCATTCTGCAGTCAAAATAGATCGGTGAGCTGCTTGGCAGCAGTCTTTCGAACGCAGGACTAATCAGTAACTGGATTTTTTCCCTTGATGGTGAAAAGAGATTCAATTAACTCGGATTACGGTCAGCCGTTGTATGTGAAACACCCAAAGGCTGGTGTCCTAGGTATCACAGTAGGCAACGGTGACGCAAAAGTTAGAAATTTCCAGTCCCGAAACGGCTCGTAGCCTTGTTGTATAAAGCAGTAGCCGTTATTTTATTTACAGCGTGTAATCTTCTTGGTCTCACTGAAGTCTCATAAGAGCCTTTAGTTGAACTGATTTGCGTATAAGGATGACTGCCATTTCCCCGGAGTTAAAAATACGAAAATTCGAGGAAAGACGCTTGGTCGAAAAGCAAGGACTTTGAGAAGCAAACGGACAATCCGGAGAGGAACTCACCGGCAGCCTTCGATTGCGCAGCATTTGTAGAATTGACTCCCTTTCTGTATCCACACGGTCTGCTACATCGGCTATAAAAAAAATAAAAACGTACAGGTTGAAATGGGCCTATGTTGACCTGATGGATCCCCCACAGCGAACTGGTCTCGCCATCTACTGGTGGTGGGGGGGTAGCGACCCCGGTGACCAACTGCACGAAATCCAAGAAACAGACCGACAAAATGCGAGGATGCTGAGCAAGGCAGGTGGCTTGGCTCTTCTCTGCTCTTGTCAGTCAACTAAGGCGCTGTCCAGGGGGTATGAATCGCCAAAGGCGGCACTACTAGGTTCGCAAAGGCTGCTGTCCTAGGCATCCCTGTCTGACGTAGGCGTCCCTCTGAAGGTGCGGGATACGCGTCAGACAGTCATAAAAAACGCCCATAGACAACAAATATTCATGTGCGAGGTCAGGAAGGAAGGCAACGCGGTAACGCCACTGGCTTTGACAAGGCTATGATGATGTATTACCATGCAGAGCGGCTGAGTTTAACCAATCAAGACTAAACAGCATAAAGCGGTTTGTTTTGGAACTTGGGAACCGGTAGACGCAAGGGACCATTCAAGGGCACAAGAAGGGTGAGTGCAGACGTGCAGTTTGCGTATGCGAACAAGAATGGGTCGAGAGCAATGGACGGAAATGCTAAACAGTCAGTCAATCCTAGTTCCTAAGGCGGGGAACGTCGTGTTACCATTGACCCTGGAAGTGAGGTCTTTAAACTCCAAAAGGCTCATGCCACTGTTGGTTCCAACACTTTCATTCACCGCTTGGCCCTGACGGCCACATTGGGTGGCGAAATGAACACACAGTGACACCCGCTGTAGTGAAGAAAGCAGCAATAATGTGCATTTACGTCTCCGTAAACTCGGCGGAGACTACTGTATGACAGGTGGAGGATGTGACCGTCACAGGTTCTTCATACAAAGTGTACTGTTTTGATGGAATATACAGAACAAAAAGAAACCGTCGGAGTTGCTTAAAAAACCAACCGCATCAGCCGAGAGTATGCACAAAAGCGCGTTATGCAAATATGCGAAGGTGTGTAACTCGCAAGCCCTACCTGCAATCATCTTTTAGAACGGAGATTACTCTGATTTTCGGCGGTTTGGCACAATACTGGTGGCAGGAATTTATTAGTTGCATCCAGAGCGCTCCTCTGGGCAAAGTAGCACTGATGTGTTAAAGACGTCTTTGGAATAAACAATGGGCAGGGTTCGGCACGATTATCTCGTTTTTGAGGCGCAAATACTCCCCTTAAGGCCATTACCGAGGGCCACTAATAAGTGACCTGGATCATGTGTACATCGCGAATAGGCGCATCAGTTACTTCAACCACCACTTCTATGGGCTCGGTTATTGAGGAGAGCGGTGATAATCCAAGACTGGGCCGGGTTTACAAAATGTCTCATGACAATTTGTCAGGAAATACGAAAATACCCAGGAGTTTTAGTGCGAAGGCAAAAAGGAACTGATCCAGGCACCGTCTCTACCCTCATTGTCAAGAGGGAACAACTCACTCACAGAAAATTGGGTGTATTGGGAGCGATGAAATCGCTGACCGGATCTCCTTCGCGCGCCGGACAGACTCCGCACTGGCCCGCGGACGAGTCTGGACGTACTTGTTCAACGCACGTTTGCACACTGGGGCAGCGGATGCCTGTGGGAGTAAAAGTAACAGGACAGTAGAGGAAAAACTCCAGATACGATGCAAACGTCTCTCGCCCTCCTCCTCCTCCTCCTAAACGCCTACAAATAGCTGTTAACGGCGTCAGTCGTTTATGATCAGCAAGTCTCCCGCAAAAGGCGACTAACTAAGCACAAATGAGGTCGAAAATGATTGCGATGTTATGAGATTCCACCACCATCTTGGTGTGAATTGACATTGTTTTCTTTGTAAAAGCGACATCAGCCTACACAGAATGGATGAATTTCTCTCAAAGTCAAGTTAGATCACTAACAGCAGAACAGCACTCATTAGTGATGCCCAAGTGCAGCGATCACAACTGGTGTTTAAGCGACGTCTGTCACAGTCACAGCCTGTTGTCATGCGAAACAGATGGCTCGCTGTCAGAAGCAATATGCAGCCGAATGCAAGACTTCGGCAAACAGATTATAATATTGGTAATCCCGCAGTAAATCTGATGATACCTCAGTTATGCCAGGATGCCAACATCTGGACCCGCGCTTTCCGGCCGCTTCCAAAGAAATACATAAAGTGAAAACAGACTACTTAAGTAGCACGATTTTTTCCCATTGATATTTGTTGCGCCCATATTATAGGGGGCATGCAGAAAGCACCGTTTCCTGTACTGATTTTTCAGCAAATTGCGTCCTCTTTAAATCTTTTACTCAAAGAAACCGTATCTCCCAGTTTTGAAAAGCTTTTGGATTGCCGAATAATTTTAGACCCCATATGTCAATGAACTTGCGTTTACGGCTTCCAGACTGCGGGTTGTACTCCTACATTTAGAAAATTGTAAATTCTTCCATGCTATTGAGAAGATGCCACGTAGACACCATGAAACTTCGCAACGGATATAAATCACGTGGCATATTTCATAAGAGGCATTAAACGGACATTTCAGTCTTGAAAAATAGCACAATCATAAATTTTTCAAATTAAACGCTAACTTTTCCTTGAGCAGAAAGTTCGAATACGCAATATGCCACAAAAAGAGTACAAGAAACGGTATATTTGCGCGTGCCTTCTTTAAAATACGTTTGGATTTAAAGAGTCATCGAAGACCAATCGAAAGAGTGTATACTTTTTAAGGAGTCGTTTTCAACGGATGCAATTCTTGTAGGCGGCCGGAAAGACGCGCATTCTAAAGCAGACATCCTTGCGTAACTAAAATATCTTGGGATTCTGTTGCATGAAAGCCGATATTGCATTCCCACTTAAGTGATATTTTCTAACCGAGATCACATTCAGAATTTCAGATGACGTTTCAATTGATGCATCACCTACTGCGGCGTAATTAAATTATCCAAAGCGCAATCGCCTAGTGTGAAGTCGACAAACTGAATATGGCAAATTCAGTATAATTATCTTGATAATAAAAACTGCCAGTATTGCAGCAGAACTTCCGCCATTGGTGATACGGTGTTCCACAACGGCATTTTTGTCAGGTTTCATCAATCATTAAAATGGGAGCCTGGTATTTGAGGACTAGTAACTCAGCATTATTTTCAAATGACAAGATTGGGTCGATGCGACTGAATATGTGCTTGTGCGTAGTGGCGCCTCTCAGTCGAAGGCTGTTTGGGGGATGACGGCCCAGGCAGATGCAGGGCCACGTGTCACCCCTCTAGGCCTACAGGTCTGGAAGCGTCTGCTATGTCAGGATCGGCAACCCATGTCGCTCGCAGCCTGGCATGAGCTGGCGGTTCTCTGACACCTAGTTCCCTGGTGGTAGATGCGCCTGTGTCCCCTCTGGGTATACAGGTCACGGGCATGGCTGCCCAGTCACCCTTGTCTTTGCAGCTGCCCTCGTTTTTGTTGTTGTTGCTGATGATGTTATTGGTTAAAATCCCAGTCATATGCTGTGAGGGCCAGGGGACGTGGTGGTACGTCTAGGTGCGGGTCCGGCCGCGCCAGCCACCTGCACTCTCTCCCGCCTTCGGTCTTCTTGACTCCGTCTTGATAGCGGATCCAGGTGCAGAGTGGAGAAGGTAGAGTGCGGTAGATGCTGTGCAAGTCCACCACCAATATAAACCAACTCACACGTAAGTCACCATGCCTGTGGACATCGTCGGTAACGACAGTCGAACTGTCGTCGTGAGTAGTCGCTGACCGAGCACGATGCTCTCCTCTGCGTGTCTTACGACACAGTTGAGCCCTCCCTACTCACCGATCGGAACTGCGTGCAAAATTTCACTGGGATGGGGAATCTACGTCGTCTATCCTCGTCGGGATTCGCCAGCCACTCGAAGCAGTTAATGCAGAGGGGACGCTGCTTCCATTGCAGCCCTCTAGAGCTACAGATAAGGGCAAATCAGTGACGAGAACCTCATAAGACTATCGGACGGAAAGAACGCATTAACTTCGCTGACATATGATCATTGCCCATAAAAGGATAAGTCTTAACAAGTAAACTATGCAAAAAGGCTCTACTGAGTCCACTAACCAGGAAGTCTGATGGACTGTACCGTAAATATGCCAGAAGACACAGTACCGCGTCGCCATCAAAAGGTGTAAATCAACGTACCAGGATAGTATTCTCGGCTATGCGTTTAGCTATAGTCTCTTGACAAGTGCGAAGTGCGTCTCGTGGGAAGGTGCCAAGCAGTTCATTGCTCCAGGTTGCCGGACATCCCGGCGCTGGAGGTTGTTGTTTGTCAACCGGCAAGTGTGTTTGAACTTGTCGGCCCAGGAAGACGCAGAGATCTACCAGGTAGGGCAGCTCGTCAGAGTCGACGAAGGAGATGGCCAGGCCGGCACGACCAGCGCGCGCCACTCGACCTGACAAGATGATAACAGCGCAAATGAGAAACCATGGTCTGATTACTCGGCAGTTAGTAAGCATGAAAACAGGAACCGAAATAATGACAAAAAGGGAAGGAGAAAACGAGAATGGTTAAGGGGGTGACGGGACAAGGAAGCACGATGAAGGCCCTTACCCACACGGTGGATAAAAAGCTTCGGTTGACCAGGGAAATGAAAATTGATAACATTGTCCAGAAGGGGAATATCAATGCCTCTAGCCGCGAGGTCAGTCACGAGCAGGCAACGCACTTTCTTTGCTTTGAAGTTTCTCACAGCCAAGGTACGAGCCACGGGGTCCAGTCCCGAATGCACCACTGTGCAGCTGATGTTGAATTCGGAGAGGAGCTAAACACAAACAAATAGGGATTAAAAAGGGGACGTCTGATACTTCTGCATGTGTATGTTGAGATGCAGAGTTGCCCGTGCATGTGTGGTAAGTCGCACCATGGTGATGATGACTCCTCCTCACGGTCTTTCACTGGTACCCAACTCTCACTTGTGGCTTCCCTAAAGCTCGGCTCTGTCCAGCGCTCACACTCCGATAATCGCCTCGACCGGCAGGCTAAACCAGATAAGGGTATTCGGTGTTGTGTTCCCACACCCAATACTTCTGCTCCCATCCCTCCCCACTGCCCTCCCGCTGCCTCTTTTTCCTCCACTTTAAAAGTCCTACGGAGGGGGCGACACTCAATCCCGTAGGCCGCCCAGGCTAACTCGGGTCGCTATCCCACTAAGTTGAACCGTGACTCACAGTGAAGCTTGACTGTCGTCTAAGATGCCTGAGCAGCTCTATTTAGGGACATAACTGACTAAACCTTCGCGGGTAGGGGGCTAGGAATGGCGCCTAAAACAAATGTGGGCGAATTACGCCATCACCAACCATACTATGGCTCTTAGATGCAAACAACAACGGACAACAACAACAACCCTCGTCCCCCTCCCCTCCACACCCCACAGGCTGCTATAGTGAGTCTGTCCACTCGTCCTATTTTAGATAATCCGAGGAGCAGCCGGCCCGGAACGAAGGACGGCACTGGTCGCTCGGAAACTGGCGTGCTACAAGGTGGACATGGCTGCTCTCAACGAGACCCAGTTCTCAAAACGAGGCCAATTGGAGGAGGTGGGTGCCGGCTACACCTTTTTCTGGGGCGGCCGCTCAAAGGCAGAGCGTCGCGACAGAGGCCAGGACGACATTGTGGGACGACTGACCAGTATGCCGCAGGGCATCAACGATCGACGGATGACCCTGCCCCTGCCTCCTCGGGGGTCCAAATTCGCCATCATCAGCGCCTACGCTCTGACGAGGCAGAGACCAAGTTTTACGAGGACCTAGACGCCCTCCTGGCGACTGTGCCGAAGTTGAATAAGTTTATTATTCTTGGTGTCTTCATCTCACGCGTCGGTACAGACTATGATGCCTAGAGGGGGGTGCTAGGTCCCCATGGAATAGCCGGCTGCAACGACAACGGCCTGCTCTTCCTGTGAACCTGCGCAGAACACCGCTTCCTCTTGACCAACACCTTCCACCTTCCGATGCAAAAGAAGGCGCCCCTGGACGCACCCCAAAAGCGCGCTGGCAACTGCTGGCCTAGGTTCTTGTCCGTATGCGAGACGGCAAGACATGCTGATGACCAAGGCTGTATGCGGCGCCGACAGCTGGATGCATAACCGCCTCGTCATTTTCAATATGAGGCTCCGGCCATAACCCCGCAGGAGACCACAAGGTGGGCGGCAGTTGGGAGCGCCTACACTCCCAAGAACAAGAGCCAGCCAATCACGGGAGGCCACGTGCGTTTTCTCTACTGCGCTGTCATCTTACTCGTGGCGCCTCTCCATTGGCTTTTCCTCTCGGGCCTGATCGATCAGCATATTCGAATTATCGACCGGCTCGTCTCGAATGTTCTTCCCGAAGGGCATTGGGCCGAACGCCGGCGAAGCACCGTAAGGCGTTATAAATACGCGTTACTTCCAGTTCATTTTGACTTGCATTTTCCTAATACACAGTTTCGTGGCCGGTCGCGTTCTCCTTCTCTGCCGCGTTGGTATTGGGGACAAGGGTCGAGTGCGCATACGCTCCACAGGATTTCACGTACCAGGCGGGTCATAACAAATTGGCGACGCAGTTTTTCAACTACAATGGCTGACGAGCATGCAGACTTGAAGCAGATGTTGCAGCAGCAGCTGAAGCTGGTGGAGGCTCTGACCGTCAAGCTATCCAATTTATCCATGGGCCAATCAAGCGCGGCTGGTGGTTCACAATCTGTTGATCACATTGCCGGCAGCATCACTGAATTTCTGTATGACCCGCAGGCCCATATCACCTTTGATTCCTGGTACAAGCGATACGAGGACTTGTTCTCTGTCGATCTGGCTGCCCAGGACGATGCATGGAAGGTTCGACTCCTACTTTGCAAACTGGGTCCGGCTGAACACGAGCGTTATGCAAACTTCATCCTCCCCAAGAATCCCCGAGAGGTCGCTTTCAAGGACACGGTTGAGACGTTGTCGCAGATTTTTGGTGATCAATCATCCCTTTTCAACACTCGATTTCAGTGCCTGCAGCTGTGCAAACGCGATTCCGATGATTTTATCACGTATGCGGGCATTGTCAATCGTGAGTGTGGGCGTTTCCAACTCGGTTCTCTTACTGAAGACCAGTTTAAATGCCTTATATTTATCTGCGGCCTCCAGTCCCCCAAGGATTCTGATATCCGGACACGTCTCCTGTCCAAAGTGCAGCAGAGCAACTCTATCACACTCCAAGAGCTGGCAGCAGAGTGCCAAACGCTGATCAATCTCAAGCAGGACTCTGCCATGATTCAGAACCCGGCCTCATCTTTCTCAGTCCATACGGTCACATCGACCAAATCGCATCCTGTTACACGGCCCAAGCAAGTGTCCAAGTCGAGATCTCCGCCATCTCCTTGTCGGCACTGTGGCGCATGGCATTTCCACCGGGATTGCACTTTCCGCCAGCATCGCTGCCAAAGCTGTAATCAGGTGGGACACCGTGATGGGTTTGCAAATCAGTACCAGCTTCTGGAGGCAAGCCAGCCCCCGCCATTCCTAATTCCAGGCATCGTTTCCGGCCAAAACGCAAGTCCAAACTCCAGTCCGTTGGTAATTCTCTGAGTCTCTTGGCCGCTTTCCAGCTCTATGCGTCTGGTCGTAGAAAATTTGTTGATGTCTTGCTCAATGGCCATGCAGTTCGTCTACAGTTGGACACTGCCTCAGATATCACCATCATCTCTGAGAGACTCTGGCAGTCCCTTGGCAGTCCCACGATGCAGCCGACTTCCCAGTCCCCCACAAGCGCATGCGGTGGTCTCGTACAGCTAATTGGGCAGCTGCAATGCTGTGTGTCGTTCCGCGGTACCAGCATCACTGCGATCTGCTACATCATCAAGTCTGATCTAAACCTACTTGGTCTCGACTGGATTGAACAACTTGGGTTGGCCGATATGCCGCTCCGCGTTGTTTGCAGTCAGGTGCAGATTCCCGCTGTGCTTGCAGACCAAGCCAAGGACATTCTCCAACGCTCTGCTCCAGTGTTCCAAGACGGCCTGGGTCGTTGCACATACACTCAAGCCGTGCTACATCTGTCTCCTGGAAGTCAACCAGTCTTCCGTCCAAAGCGACCAGTCCCATATGCAGCCCTACCACTTGTCGAGGCTGAACTGAAGCATCTAGAGGAATTGGGAGTTCTGGTTCCTGTATCCTACTCCGCCTGGGCCGCTCCAATCGTTGTGGTTAAGAAGCCCAATGGGTCGATTCGCATTTGTGCTGACTTCTCCACCGGTCTCAATGCCGCACTGATGCCGAACTGCTATCCACTACCGGTTCCGGCTGATCTTTTCACCCTGCTGAATGGTGGCACTTGCTTTGCCAAGTTGGATCTCGCTGACGCGTATCTGCAGATCGAGGTCGCCCCAGAGTCGCGCGAACTGCTGACCACCAAGACCCACCGCGGTCTGTTCCAATACACAAGGCTGCCCTTTGGTGTCAAGACCGCCCCGGCCCTATTCCAACAAACGATGAACGCAATGCTCTCCGGCATCCCTGGCACAGCTGGGTACCTGGACGACATCATCATCGTGGGTCGCTCCCCTGCCGAGCTGCAAGACCGAGTGTGCGCAGTACTCGAACGCGTGCAGGAGTATGGCTTTCGCCTACGGGCCGAGAAGTGCCAATTCTTCCTCGACTCCATCAAGTACTTTGGATTCGTTTTTGACGCCAATGGTCGCCATCCAGATCCTGAAAACATTCGGGCCACCCAACGGATGCCTGCCCCCCAAAATGTATCGCAACTTCGTTCGTTCCTTGGCCTGATCAGCTACTATAGCGCCTTCCTACCATCGCTGCATGACGTACGGGCCCCGCTCAACCGTCTGTTGCAGAAGGATGCTCCTTGGTGCTGGTCCCACGACTGTGAAAAGGCCTTCGCCCAGCTAAAGTCGATGCTGAGTTCAGATCTGTTGCTCACGCACTACGACCCGACGCTGCCGATCGTTGTTGCTGCAGATGCTTCCAACCACGCAGTTGGTGCCGTCATCTCACATACTTTTCCTGATGGGCCTGAAAAGGCGATCATGCATGCATCTCGCACGCTAACCCCTGCGGAGAAGAACTATGGGCAAATAGAGAAAGAAGCTCTAGCCCTCGTGTTTGCCGTCAAGAAATTTCACAAACTGTTGTACGGTCGCCACTTCACGTTGTTGACGGATCACAAACCATTGCTGTCAATCTTCGGTTCGAAGAAGGGCACTCCCGTCTACTCAGCCAGCCGACTTCAGCGATGGGCAACCATCCTTCTTGGCTACGACTTCGACATTCGCTACTGTCGTACTACAGACTTTGGTCAGGCTGACGCCTTTTCTCGCCTCATCAGCAATCAGCAGGAACCGGAGGAAGATACCGTGATTGCAGCTATTTCGATTGAGGACGGTATGCGCCGTCAGCTATCAGACGCCATACGAGGTATCCCTGTCACTGCCGCGGACATCCGACGTGCTACTGAACAGGATCCTGTCCTCCGCCAGGCCATCCCCTACGTGCAGACCTGCTGGCCAACCACTGCTCTCGCTGGCGATCTTCGCCAGCTCTTCCTCCGCCGACCATCGCTATATGTGGTTGACTCCTGCCTCATGTTTGCAGACCGTGTGGTGATCCCATCTTCCCTCCGACCCACTGTACTACGCCAGTTCCATGCGGCTCATCCTGGTGCCAGTCGAATGAAGTCTATTGCTCGCAGTTTTGCCTACTGGCCGGGTATCGACGGCGACATCGACGACCTGGTTCGACGCTGTTCTCGATGTCAGCAAGCTGCCAAGATGCCGCCTCGTCAACCTCCAATACCCTGGCAACCACCGGAGAGGCCTTGGTCACGCGTGCATTTCGACTTCGCTGGCCCACTTAACGGAGTCTCCTACCTAATCTTGGTTGACGCCTACTCGAGATGGCCCGAGATTGCTCCGCTGAATCCAGCAACCGCATCTGCCACTATCGCCTTCCTACGACGCATCTTTAGCCAGCATGGCTTACCAGAAGTCCTGGTTTCAGATAATGGTTCTCAGTTTATCTCGTCGACGTTTGAAGATTTCTGCCGCCAGCACAACATCCAGCATCTTCGCTCCCCGCCCTACCATCCTTAGTCTAACGGTCAGGCGGTTTTGTCGACACGTTTAAGAGAGCCCTCTTGAAAGCTCGTGGGGAGGGGACCACGGACGAGATAGTCCAGGCGTTCCTGTTTTCCTACAGGCCGACACCGAACCCGGCGTCCCCTGGTGGCGTTTCTCCTGCCGAAGCGTTGATGGGCCGAAAACTGCGTACAACGTTTCATGCCCTCGTCCCTACCGGTGCGCAGCCCGCGCAGACTTCTCCAGTTTCTCGCAGCAAGCTCTCCATCGGAACACCTGTCTTCGTTCGTGATTATCGAGCGGGGTTCCCAGACTGGATTGAAGCAACCGTAGTATCGCACAGAGGCAGTATGTTGTTTGATGTCGACGTTGGTGATGACATCTGGGTTCGCCACCACAACCAGATCCGACGGCGACATTGCAGTAACACAACTGGGCTCGATTCGGCGCCGTCACTCTCTCTCGACATCCTACTGGATACCTTCGCCATTCCGGCAGATCAGTCGGTTCCCGAACCCACTTCTGCACCCCCTTCGGATATACCATCTTCGGTATCAGTTACCGCTCCCGTATCTCCAGGCATTAAACCACGACTAAGACGCCGGACCAACCGCGTGCGCCGATCAACACGTCTGATGCAGGTCAACCCACGCCAGAAGCGGTACTGACCTACTTGGAGGGGAGGTGCTGGGAGCGC